CAACAAAAACAAATGAAGAAAAAAAAGAAGATGGATTATAGGAAGGGCATCAGGGCTAAAAGATGAAAATGACTAGTCACAGGGGTGGGAGGAAAACCTGGTAAGTTCTGTGGTAGGCAGAACAGCGGCAAAATAACCATGTCCTAATCTCTGCAACCTGTGAAAATATTAACTTAAATTGCCAAAGGAACTTTGCAGGTGGAATTAAGTTATGGATCTTAGATAGGGAGAGCATCCAGGATTCTCAGGTGGGCCCAGTGCAATCACATGAGTCCTTAAAAGTGGAAGAGGGAGGCGATGATGGAAGAAGAGGCAGGAGAGAGTCAAAGTGTAAAGGGACTTGATCCACCATTGCTGGCTTTGAAGATGGAAGAAGGGGGCTGTGAGCCAAGGGATGCAGGCAGCTTCTAGAAGCTGGCAACGGCCCTCAGCTGAAGCCAGTGAGGAAATGGGGCCCTACAACCACCGGGAACGGAATTCTGCCTTCAGCCTCAATGGGCTTCAAGCACACTCTTCCCCAGAGCTTCTGGAAAGGAACCCATCCCTGCCAACACTTTGATTTTAGCCTGGTGAGACCTGTGCCACACTCCTGACCTACAAAACTGTAAGATAATACATTGTGTTGTATTAAGCCTCTGAGTTTGTAGTAAATTTTTATGGCAGTTAGTGCTCAAAGAATATTAGCTATTATTATTATTATCCTTTTTGAGACTGTCTTTCTGTTTAACTCGTGAAGGTAGTGATTCTCTTTTAGTAGGTGTGGTAACAAGAGAATTGCTTCTCTCATTTGTCAGCCGGGTGAGTCCTTACAAGGTTAACAAATTACCCATACCAGAGAGCATCAGAGGCAATGGTTGATGAGTCTCCCATTCTGTCAGCCTGTCTTAATTAATTGGTTGCCCAGTTCCAAGCTGATGGCACAGGGCTGCTATCTGCATGCTGCATTTTGTGCTGATTGCCTAAATGTCAGGCTTTGACAGGTATTCCTTCTCTATTGTTCTCCCAACATAGGTATTGTCATAGTTCCTGACAGCTGGAATTTACTTATCTGTTAGAGTCACCCAGGGATAACCTGCAGCCCTTTATCTTAGAGCAGTGCTTCTCAACCCTGGCTGCACATTAAAAGAAGCTTGGAGGTTTTTAAAAAATATTGATACTCAGGCCCCATAGATCAATTGAACCAGAACCTCTGGGTGTGGGACCTGGGCGTGAGTACTTTTTGAAAGCGCTCTGGGCGATTCCAAAGTGAAGTGATGTTGGAGAAGCACTGCCTTAAGGCTTTTTCCCTTTCACTGCTGAGAGTGGGGGAGGCACCCTTTGTACCCAGACATCTATTAAATTCTGAACCCTGCAGAGCTAATGGACAGAGGGTGCACAGTGCAAAGTGCTTCCATAGAGACTGTGGGAGGAGACATCCTAAGATAAACGTCTCCAAGCGAGGATGGAGGTCAGGTTTCGGCTGCAGCTACCTTCACTGGTCATGCTGTGCCCTGGGTCATCTACAAGACAGGAAGAGGCTAAAGCTTGGAAGGCAAAGATATTTCACTCTTTCTTTCATAAGCTTTATTCAGGATGCCCATTTTTTCGCTAAGCAAGAAAAGTTCATTGATTCTGCTTTCATGTGGCAGGCAAAATGATATCCATATGTCTTAGTCGGCTTGGGCTGCTATAACAAAATACCACAGACTGGGGGGCTTAAACAACAGACATTTATTTTTCACAGTTCTGGAGGCTGGGGAGTCCAAGATCAAGGTGCCGGCAGATTCAGTTCCTAATCAGAACTCTCTTCCTAGCTTACAAAAGGCCATCTTCTTGTTGTATCCTCACATGGCTAAGTGAGGAAGCTCTGGGGTCTCTTTCTCTTCTTATGTGGACACTAGTCCCATCGTGGGGGCTCCACCCTCATGACCTCATTTAAACCTAATTACCTCCCAAAGGCCTCACCTCCTAATACCATCACACTGGGGCTTAGGGCTTCAACACCCGAACTTTGGGGGAACACAAACATTCAGTCTATAGCACTGTACAATTTCCTGATGATCTATAAATTAAAATGATCAGTGTCCTCTAGGTACCCCCAGGAACCCAAATAGCCAGAGTTTAATAGAAGTGGTAGGAAACCTCATCTTTGGAGTCTTTGGCTAAGACTGACCAGAGGATTGCTGTGGTAGGTAGAATGTCCCCCCAAAGATGTCTATGTCCTGATCCCTGGAACCTCTGATGATGTTACCTGACATGGCAAAAGGGGCTTTGCAGGTGTGATTAAGGCTTCGGGCCTTAAAATGGGGAGGTTATTCTGGATTAACCAGGTGGGTCCAAGCTAATCACCTGAGTCCTTAAAAGCAGAGAACTTTCTCTGGCTGGAGACAGAAAAGATACTGTAAAAGGGGAAGTCGCAGAGACTTGAAGCATAAGAAGGACTCTACGCACCATCACCGGAATGAAGATGGAGGAAGCAACATGATGAGGGATGTAGATGGCCTTAAGGAGCTGAGAGAGTTTCCCAAGTGACAGCCAGCAAGGACGTGGGGACCTCAACCCTGTAATTACAAGGAACTGGATTCTTCCAACAACCCGAATGAGCTTGGAAGCAGATTCTTCTCCAGAACCTCCAAAAATGAGCTCAGGACAGCCAACACCTTGATTTCAGCCTCGTGAGACCTGGAACAGAGGAACCAGGAGAGCCCACTGGGATTTCTGACCGACAGAACTATGAGATGATAAATTTGTATTGTTTTAAACTGCTAACTTGCAGTAGGATTTTTTCTGAGGAAGATCGGCCCTGAGCTAAAATCTGTTGACAATCTTCCTCTTTTTTGCTTGAGGAAGATTGTCGTGAGCTAATATCTGTGCCCATCTTCCTCTATTTTGTATGTGGGATGCCACCACAGCACAGCTTGATGAGCAGGGTGTAGGTCTGCACCCAGGATCCAAACCCGCGAACCCTGGGCCACCGCCAAAATGGAGCACATGAACTTAACCACTACACCACCGGGCTGGCCCCAATTTGTGATAATTTTTAAACGCAGCAATAGAAAACTAATGTAACTGCCAAGGCACAGTTTGAATTTTTATTCCATTGATAAACAATTTTAGTGACATTGACTTTGATTGTTGAACACAAACCACAAGTTGAGAGATGAGAAACCTGGCAAGTTTGGGTGGTCAATTTACTCCTGGAACATTTAGCCAGACTGTTGACTTGCCAAAGATGCGTTGTGATGGTGACAACTTGGATGATGTTCCTTTCTACAAAGTCCTCAAACACAATACAGGGAAATGCTGATGTGTGTCAGAAATTATAATGCCTGGCCAGCCCTGTTGTAAAAATAGGATGCAGAGCTATGACTATTGGGAAAAAAAATGTTCAAAATGAAATGCATGATTTGGAAAAGAGGTTTAACTACCATCAAGACAATTTTCTCCCATAATAGACCTATGAGAACAGTAGGGACTTTTGAGCAATTTATGTTGGTCAGTTTCCATGGATGTTATGCTAAGCGGCTGGGCACATTCGCAACCTTCATGCTCTTCTCAATTTCCCAGCAACAGATTTCTAGCTCCTAGCCAGAAGTCTCATTAAGACGGGCCTGCATTTTAGAATCATAGCATGATCCTTTAAAAGGCTTCCTTTTGAACATATTTTATTAACTCCAACAACAGAAACCAACTCTACTTACCTTAAGCAGAAAATGAATTTATTGACTAGCTCACCAAATTAACAGGAAGGTTGGAGAATTGGCTCTGAAAACGGGCAGGAAACAAAGGAAGCAAGGATCCACTGCTAAAATTTCATTGTAGGAAGAGTCAATTAAAGAAGCCACCTCTGAGCCATCGATGCTGCTACCCCCAATTCTGTCACCTCTGGAGGCTGGCTACTGCTGCCATAGCTGCAAAGAATTCTAAACTGTTCCCTATTTCTATCTCCAGATCCAAAATCCCAAGTGGAAGGATTTAATTTTTCTCAGCTTAGATAAAATGCAAAAAAAAATTTCCAGCCACCAAGCGTTGGGAAAAGCACATATTTTAGTTTCCTTACTAGGAGGCAGGACTGCTCTTCCCTCCAAGACTTACTCTGCAGGCCATTTCCCAGACATAGAAAAGGGTGCAAGGTGGATGGAGCTCTCTACCCCTTTGGCTGTCCAACATACCTGAAGACTCATCTTCTCATATGTCTAAAATATACATATATATTTTTTTAATATATTATAAAATTTATATATATAAAATAAATATATATATGTATATATATGCTCCCACTTCAAATAATGCAACTTACTCTATTCTCAAGGAAAATAACCCAAAGTTTCACCAACTACTTCTTCTAGCCCTTCACCCAGGACATCTGAGCAATATCTATTTCTGTCATAATCCCTTCTCAACCACCAACACACTCTATGTGCAATAGTGGAGTAAAGGAAGAAGAAAGAGGGCAGTCACTTAAAATGTGTAAATATCTACGTGGCAGAGCAAGGAAGAGAGTCTGGGTAGAAACTGTGGTCCTTGTTTCTGCACCTAATGATGAGGTATTTACGACTTCCCTCCTCCACTACTCCTTCATGTTCCCATTACCTTCAGCCCCACCTTGGCTGGCCACAGTGGTATGCTGGTAAATGTTTAACAACCAGCTCTCTGAAAGAAAGATATTTGTTTTAAATTTTACTGATATAAAAGATGTTTAGGGCCAGCCCCAGTGGCCTTGTGGTTAAGTTCAGGGCATTCCGCTTTGGCAGCCTGGGTTCAGTTGCCAGGTGTGCACGTACACTGCTCTGTTAGCGGCCATGCTGTGCTGGCGGCCCACATACTAAAAAGTAGAAAAGATTGGCACAGAGGTTAGCTCAGGGCGAATCTTCCTCAGAAAAAAAAAGGCACAAAATTTACAATTAATAAAATATACAATGCTCTTTATTATAAATTCCATATAGCCAATTGATTGTCAAAGGTTGCTTTTTTGTTGTTTTATTTTGGGGTTTTTTTTTTTTTGCCAACTTATAGTTGCAATTCAACTATGATTTGAAAAAACCAAACTACAAATAAAATCTTAATTACTATCCAATTCAGCCAATAACTTGCTCAAATCATTAACTAATGAACGTAGTTCTGACATGGATATTGGTTGATAATTCTGTTTGCATTAACAAATAAGATGGAAGTGGAAAATGGAGATATCTCACCGAACTTCATTTGTCCATCAGTGACATGAGCAACTGCTTTACTGAGTCACAGAAGTTTGGAAATATTGGAAGAATATTTCCTCAAGTTTTTGTGCTATTCATATATGTATGTATATATATATAGTGTGTGTGTACTGGAATTTTAAATTTTATTTCTAAATTAGAATTTACATTTTATTTCTAAGTGTTAAAAAATAGTCTTATGGATTAAGTTGTCATTAAAGTTATTATTTGTGTGCAATTGACTGAAACAACATAAAACACGAAAAACCAAATTTTAATTGAAGTTGCATTTTCTAGTAATATGGGGGGGCTGATTTTTTTAAAATTAGTTCATGTATCCATGGATGAATATGACTTATTGCTAGAATGAGGCAGGGTTCACCAACAATTCAACAATTTATTCCTATTTTTTTCATTGCTGTCAGCACTGAGAAATCTTGCTCACATAAATAAGTATATAGGAATGGAGGAGTTTTGCTATACCAATGTCGCTCAATTTGTTGAACTCCTTCCAATTATGTGCTAAATGTTACATAGTGATCTATCAACAAAAATTATTTTTAATGATGTATCAGCTCCCAGCTCATAGGTTTTTCAATTTTGTTGAAAGCAAAGGATTAGAACTATATGACTTGAGAAAAAAATTGTCATCTACTCTTTGCATCATTTACTTTCTCCATTTCTGAAAGTATACTAAAAAGACATTACTATGACTTACAACACAACTCTTAATTTTACTTGTTGCTTTTTCTCCAACAGGCATCTCATATAGCCTTTATACTTAGAAAAGTTTAGCAAATACTTTTATCTGTCACTACAATATTAGTTATAAAAGTACTTTTATATTGCCACATGCTTTAATTATATTTTCATCAAAAGCTTGGAACTGCAGCTTTAGCTCATTCAAATTATGGAAAATGTCTGCCATATCTATATCTATATGGGAAAGCCCATCTTCATTGGTCAAACCAATTGGTCAATTGCTCTTCTTACGGGGCGGCTATCTTCCAAGAGGCAGGAAGCAGAAAGTGCCCACCAGTTAAGGGTTACACATAGAACTGGCGTGGTATCGCTTCCACCCTATTCTATTGATCAAAGCAGTCACAGGGCCCACCCAGATTCCAGGGGGTGGAGAAATAGACTCTACCCCTCACTGGAGGAGTCGCAAGGTCTCATTTTAGAACACCATGGGGATGGGAGCTATCATTGGAGCCATCTTTGGAAAATACAATCTGCCACAGCCAGTTACTGAGAATATATTTCATCAATACTCAGGAATGGAGGAAACAACCTAGGGTGGGTCCAGTGTCCCATAGGCATTGCTGTAAGGTGGACCCCTGTCCAACCTCCATATTGGCCAATGGGCCATAGTAACTTTCAGGGTACTCAGGAATTAGTGTCATCTTACAGCTAGTGTCCAATAATCTCCCAAGGATGAGCATGTTTCCCTTTTGCCAGTGCACATTTCCTATGGTAAACACTGGAGTCTCTCTGCTGAGGGCTAGAAGGAAGATCCAGGAGGTACTGGGGAAGTCTTTGTAGGGTCCCTTCTTGGAGCATACAGCCTCCTCTTCGTTCAAGGAGCTCTGGTCTGGGAGTTGGGTGACTCAGGTTTTAGAATTGGGTGAGAGGCCTCAACTCAGTATTTTTATTTTCTGGCACACGCCTAACCTCTGTTAACCAGATATGGAGTTTTGTTGTTGTTGTAAAAGTCAAATAGGGCCTTAGGTGATTACCCAGGATCTTCAGACATGGTGATCCCATAAGCAATCCACTACTGCCAAAGATCCCTGTGGCTCAGACCCTTCTGATTTCCACTCTGGTAACCATGATCATCTTGCTTCTTGTAGTTAAGTAATGCCCCCTGGCCTCTGTCACTCTGAGATATTCCTAACACATTGATATCAGGAAGCCCATTTCCACATATCATCTTTTGTCAGTAATTCTGGCCTACAGAAGAGAAGCACTCCCCTCACCAATTTATTTCTCAAGGCCATGGGGAAGGGATTATCTTCTGGGGATTCTCAAATTACATCATTATTGGAAACACACAAATGAATCAACTGAAGCATTACAATGTCCGTAAGTCTTTAGAACCCTTACAAATGAATTTCTTGCATCTCAACCTCATTTAAGGTGAGCCACAATTGAGTCCAGGTTTTAGTCAACCAACCAAGTAAGTATTAGAACTACTTTCAGCCTCTCCAGCTAGCCTACTGGATCCAAAGTCTCTGGTAAATGGACCCATATTGATTAATTCAGCCCAATATAAAGTTGTGTTTTTCCTTTTTTGGTCTACACTCTCATTTCTACATATATTCCCCAGATTTTTGCTGATTATAAGTAAACAATCTACAATTATTCTGGTATATAAGCCTGCTGCTTCTGGAGTGACTTGATGATTGGCCACCAGAACATGCTAATCTTACACTAAGGCGAGGAGGAGTAGAGAGTGAGAATTGGCTTTCTATCGAGTTGCTTCCTTTAGGAAGTTAGGGGACAGACACCACATAAATTTGGGGGAAAGTTTAAAGGATTACTAACTAGCAACAGGAGATTAGGTACTAAATAGTATAGAGAACTATAAAGAATACAGGAATGGTGGATATAGGGAGCAGCCACTACTTCTAGGCTAAGGCAGAACACCCAAGGAAGGAAGAAATCTGGAAGAGGCCCCAACCACCAAGGCTGAGATTCAGACCTCAGTAGAGAGAGTATGACTGTAGTCCTGGATTGCAGAGAAGTTCGCTGAGGTGCCACAGGTCACATATGGCAAGCAGGAAACCAACTGCTGGAGTCTCAGTGAAACTCACTAGGAAGTCACCTGTTGAGATGCTGGTGGAACTTCCTGGGAAAGAGGCAACAGGGGTGCACTGAAACTTGCTGGATGGTGAGCCCCATTGGCTGTCTTGTACTTCAGTGACCACCACATGCTGAAGAAGCAAGAAAAACCACACCAGGATCAGGAAGAGAAGCACCTTCCTCCTGCCTTGTCCTTGCGGTTCTCCTCTACTGCCAACACTTAACATCGTGCCAGCTGACAAAGGAGAAATGTTTACAGGGTCCAGCTCTAAAAGGCAATGATGGATGAATGGGTAATTGACACGAGAATGACCCCATCAAACAAAGGACTGCCCCCAACAGTCCCTCGACTTTGACTGGACCTACAGCCAATGATCCTACCATCTTTTCATTCATATTTCTCCTTCAGGTCCTCATTGCCCTTTTTATCCAGCTTAACGGCTTTGGTCAGTCACTCCAGTCCCTCACCCTGGTTAAACCCAACTCTCTGCCTAGTCCATTTCTGTACTCACACAGCCTAATGTGGCTGGACTGTTATAGTCTGGGTACTAAAGGAAGCAAGCTCTAAATATAGGAGGTGATGGTCAGAGAATGGATGTTTGACTCCAAGATTATGGAGGAGTTGCAGGTTTTAGTAACAATAATATGTTAAGGTCTATGTAGGAACATGACAATGAGTGGCTGAGGTAGGGTGAACAATGAGAGAAGTCAAATACCTGAGAATCTAGGATATAGGGAGGAATATACAAATACGTCATATACATAAATCCTCAAGAAGTAAGACAGTGCTGGAGAGAGCAATAGAGAGCCGGGAGATAAAATCTTCAATAAATGAGGGAGCATGAACAACTGCAACAAGAAGGGCTAGTGGGAATGTAGTCTGATGACATAGGATTCAAACTGGGGGTAGAGGGCTTGCGGGAGGAGGGGAAGGGGAGGAAGAATAGTCTGGAACTGGCCATGAGGAGCAAAGAAAACATCTACCCATTTGCATGCCCTGTGTTATATGAAACATGGAGGTAAAAATAAAAGCAGCCACCATTTGAGAGGGTTGCAGAGGAAGCAATGTCTTCACGAGAAAGCCAAGTTTCCATTAAAATGTGCCTTGTGCTTGATTAGGGAACTGTGTGTTCAGGGGTCATTCAGAAACGAGATTGAGGACAGAGGGGGATCTGCTGATTACCAACTAGGGGTTGCAGAGGGCACCTCAAAGGAGTTGGGGAGGGCTGGGAGGTGGGAGCTGAACGGGGGATATGCAGAGCCATGTGGTATTGAAGCAGAGCCACGTGGGAAGATGAGGGTGACGTGGTGGTCTGGGCCTCTTTGATGAATGAAGGAAGGGAATTTAGAACACAATGAGATAAGTCCTGGTGGTCTTAAGGCAAATAATGATGAAAGGGTGTGTGTTAGGGGAGGGTGAGAGAAATGAGGGCCTATAGCTGCTTGCCTATTCTTTCCTGAGAAATGATTCCACCTCATGAATGAGGGTTTCATTCCTGACACTGCCAATGGAGATGTGGCAGTCCAAGGAGAAACAAGTCTTCAATGAGTACATTATTCTGGGTGACCATAGATGATCAATTTGTTGATTTGCCAGTGGCTGCCAGAGTCCTGCCCTTTAACACTGTCTTCGGCCCCAACTAGGACCAATGACTCATTCCAAGTTGCTCCCATTTCCCTAAGGCTACTTGTTGCAACTCATTTCCACATGTCAATTTCCGAATGAGACAAGGTTTATGAGTGCAAGCAGTAGATACTGACCCATCACTGGAAGGATACTGGATAATTCACAGTCAGTGGGAGTGCTGGAGAAACAGACTTGGAAAGGGAGTAGGAGAGAAACGAGTGAGTATGACAGAACTATCACTAAATCATACCATAGAAAAATTTGGTTAGGACACCAGTGTACCACTGCCCAGTACTGAGCCTGGCCTCAGGCACTGCCACCATTAGACTGGGAAGGCCACTACTGTCAATCTGGAATGAATTCTAAATAAATTCTAAACTGTCCGCTGCTCCCCTTTCCATACTCAAATGGCCTGCCTTAATGCACGTGCCCAAGCTCTAGCTCTCTGTGGAGGCAAGTGTCTGTCCTTTCGGTGTGGGGAGGCAGGGAGAAATACAGAATGACTGAGCCCCTAAACATAAGCAGTGAGTACAGTTGCTGGTCAAAAAGGAAAATCTATTCCAGGAAAGAACTCACAGGCTCCCATATTCATTCCCATGGAAGAATAACTGTTATGTTAGTTGAAATAAGGTTCAGCTGTGAGTAACAAAAACCCCAAAGTACAAGAAAGTGGTTTTGTTTGCTTACCTCAGAAATGTAGGCAGTCCAAGTCTAGTATGGTGGTTTTATGGACCTAGGGTCCTATCAACACACAGCTGCCACCTCATGGTCCAAGACGGCCACTCCTGCTCCAACAATTACATCTGCATTACAGCTAGAAGGAAAGAGGAAAAAGAGAAGTAGCTGACCTCTCCCTTCAGGGATACTTACCAGGAATTATAAACACCACTTTTGCTTAATGACCAGAATTTAGTCACAGGGCCACCATGAGCTGCAAGAGGAGTGGCTGTGCAGTCAGCAAAAATTTAGAGATTTTATTACTGAGGAAGAGGGGTGAGAATGAATATTGGGGGACAACTACCTCTCTCTGCCCCTTTCAAGACCTTTTTACATTTTACAGTGGTGAAACTGCCTTCTGCCTCTTCCATGCTCCCATCATCCCCAAGTCACTGTGGCATGGAAGCCACTCAATGGAAAAGATTCACTTGCCACCCTTCAATCTCAGGGCTCCTCAGGACATCATATAAAGATCTACTCAACCACATTTCCATTGCTGATGCTTCCATTTCCTATTCCTGCCTGATGCTATTACCTCATTTGCCATTTTCACTGCAGAGCATAGCAGGCTACCAAATCATTGATATGGATTACACATTATGTTCAAGTCCTCTTTCTCTTTTGCTTTTTTTTATCAGTTTATTTAAGGGCGCTTTCTTATTGAACTGATACTTAAGGCTCCTGGTCATGTACAGTTTTGCAATGACTTACATAAACAAGAGTGACGGAAAGTCTAGGGTGCTTTGGGGCCATGAGGATATTTTATTGCAGCTCTCAAAAAATCCCAATAGATGAAAACATGCTGCTTTTATTTTTTTTTCTTTTTTTTGAGGAAGATTAGCCCTGAGCTAACTGCTGCCCATCCTCCTCTTTTTGCTGAGGAAGACTGGCCCTGAGCTAACATCCATGCCCATCTTCCTCTACTTTATATGTGGGATGCCTACCACAGCATGGCTTGCCAAGCGGTGCCATGTCTGCACCTGGGATCCAAACCGGCGAACCCCGGGCCACCGAAGCAGAACGTGCGCACTTAACCACTGCGCCACTGGGCCGGCCCCCAAAACATGCTGCTTTTACAGAAAAGAGAAATCTGGGTCTGATCAACTGGTTTACTAGGGACACATCTATTCTAAAAATAAAAACAAGGCTTCGTAGTGATAGTCAGCTTGTACATTAATTGTACATGGAGAAAGAGGAACGTTAGTCATGTGGTATTATCTATATTTACATGCTATATTTATATATTTATTTATATATATCTATATTATTTACTATAGATAGATATATGCCTCCTTGGCTTTATCTCTATATCATTGTGGTGAAAATGTAGTTTAGAAAATATACAGCAGGAGGGGTATTTGTGAAATTAATTGGCATAGGAAGTCTTATAGGATTTCTATTATTAAATTTATTTTCATCATCAATACTGTTTGAAAATGGTTACCCTTGTAGGGAAAAAACAAGGATGCCACTTCCCTATGCAGAAGATGTTCTACGTCTCACTCATTTGCAGTGGGAAAATACCAGGAATGATTCACTTCCTGAGTTAAAGGAATTATGTAAATTTAGCCAGTCACATCTTCAGTAGAAAATGTGTCTGTGATCTAGTACAACAAGGATTTTATTTTACTTTTTTGCCATTCATACGTAAAGGCCTTCATGGGCCCTGTGCCTCATGCATATCTTCTTGGCTCCTATGCCTCAGTATACGTGACCCAGCTTCCAACCTGCATTCTTTTGTTAGGGGCTTTCCCTGACCTGCAATGTGCACTTTGCGTGCTGGTGCAGCAGGCAGCCCTCAATCAATGATGGATGGGAGTTGGCGCATAAATGCCCCAGCTCCCTCGCTCAAGCTGGGACCACACTGGGGCCTTGTTCTCTTCAGATTCGCAAAGCTTCCCCTGCGGGATCAAGCTCAGGTTACCCATAATCATAACCGACTTCACAACCTCCCTCTTCAGCTGCCTTCCTGGCCTTGCCTCACCTCCCCAGTCCCCTGCTGGTGTTTCCTTCCCTGCCCAAACAAACTACATGTACTTAAATCCTTGTCTCAGAGTCTGCTACTGGGGAAAGAAATGAAGACAGAAGCAAACAAAAAAATACTTATTGGTGTGCTTACTACCCTGGACATTTGCCTAAATCATAACTTCAGATTTAGATAGAAGAATCTGGATTATGGGGGATTTAAATTAAGTCACAATGATTTGAATCATGACTTAGATCACTAGATATATAGATTTATTTTAAATCATTGTTGTTAATTTTTTTCCCTATAATTTTGCTCTCCATATACTCGTCAAATACGGCCCTCAATATAGCCTTCAAACACACTCATCAAAACTCTCCTTTGACAGTGTCTGGGTAAAGGGACTCCACAATGCAGGATTCTCTCCTCCAATAGTGCCTGGCCCTTTACTCATCACCTGTTGATTTGGCTGTAGGTTTCATTTTGAAAACACATGCAGCATTTTAAGTGATTGTTATTCTTTCTAATAGAGTAGCCAGGGTTTAAGTGCAGATTAATTTGAGTTCAGAACCAAGCTCTTAACTGCGTGCAGAATTGTGGTGCTGTGGGGCCGGCCCCGTGGCCAAGTGGTTAAGTTCGCGCACTCTGCTTCAGCGGCCCAAGGCTTCACCGGTTCGGATCCTGGGTGCTGAACATGGTGCCGCTCATCAGACCATGCTGAGGCGGCGTCCCACAATCCACAACTAGAAGGACCCACAACTAAAAAACATATATACAACTATGTACCAGGTGGCCTTGGGGAGAAAAGGGAAAAATAAAATCTTTAAAAAGAAAAAAGAATTGTGGTGCTGGCCCCAGAAAGCTGAAAGCAGAAGGGAGGGCTTCTCAGAGCTGCTCTGAGGCCTGTGGCTGTGTTAATCTCACTGGAGTAAGGAGAGAAAATAAGGGATTAAGAAAGGGCTGGTGCCTGAGTCATCCCAGGGCAGTTCCAGGTCACATGTGCATCAAGGCTATGTGACATTTAGATGTCTCAGGTCACCCCAAGCCAGATTATCTTTTAGTCCTCACTTGGCTTCACCACATGCACTTGGAAGCTCTCACGCATCCTCCTTACCCTTCAGAAGAAAATAGATGATGAGTGTTCGATTGTGCATGAAAGAGATAGGCTTCTCCTGCTTGGCCAGACCACAGAGAAGCCACAGAATCTTCTTAGGTGACCTGACAACGATGGGCTCTAGGAGCAAATGCACTCTCTCTCCTTCTCTCCCTTCCTCTTCCTCCCTCTCTTGTTTCTCTTTCTCATTCTCTCTCTCTCTCCCTCCCTCCCTCCTTCCCTCCTACACACCTTTCTCTCTGCTACCTCTTTTGCAGCAAAAAAGCTGTGAAATTTAAAAACAGACCTTCTCTGACGTGTCTTTGGGTAAAATCATGGGACGCCAGGCCATCCCTCAGACATTCTTCACAGCTCCCACCTCTCTTCCATCCACCCACCTTGTGTCTGGGTCTCTGTAGAGTTTCCAGTACATCAGTAATCAGGTCGAATGCATCAAGCCTCCCAAGGAAGAGTCAGTTGTCCTAAAAATCTGATTCCCAGAACCGCAGCAAGTGATTTCAGCTTCTTTACTGGGATCAAAAGTTGGCAAATAACCATGATGTCCGAGGACAAGAGACTGTTACATAATCATCCTTCGTCAGAGACAATGAGGTCGCATGTTTGCCCATCTAATCGCTGATCAGGGACATGTTTGAATGCAGATAATGTGCTTGCTGGCCCACAACTTAATTACTGAGCGTCTGAATCAACAAAGCTTTCAGATGTAGGTCTTGCCTAATGGTGCGTCTGTTAGAGATCATTGCCTCTGCTTGGCCCCTAAACGAAAGGTCTGGGGGATACAATGGGCCATTGCCAGTGCTGTTCTCGATGACCTCTCATTGAAAAACATGCCAATTCACACGGTTTATTTTCCAGCCAGCAGTAGGCATTATTGTTTATATACAGGGCCAAATGGGGTGAATGACTCCAGGGTGGCAAATATTAGTAAAGCCTCTGGTGAAAGCATGCTCTCCAAGGAAATTAATGCCACAGTCATTTTGGTATATCTGCAGCCGGAGTCCAGTTATCCAGACAGGAATGTCCCAGAGTGACAGAGAGGGGGGAGTTCCTTTCCCAAGCTGGTAAAGAAAATGTGTCGGGAAAAGTCTAGGGAAATAAGCAAGCAATAAGTAAGTAGGACCAAAATGTTGAGTCTATGAGTTGGGGTCCCTGTAGTCAATTAGGATCTAACTACAGAGCCTGGAGCCCAGTGGGTCTCTCGTTAAGGGACATCTCTCCTGGCTATTTCCCCTTTCCGAATTCCCACCCCACGTGTGTGTGGTTCGCCTGGATTCCAAATGGAGGTCCCACCTCCCTCTCTCGGCCATCGTTATCACAGCCATGCCTGGCAATGACTTCAAGATTTAGAGAAAAGTATGTTTGGGATGAGGTGGGGGTTTTTTGGTGTTTTGTTTAAGATTTAAGGAGTCCTGATCTATGCACAATTGTTATTATTTAATCACTAGGGACAGCTATGCCCATTTCCTTGCCTGCAAATTTAAATAAATGCAACATGCCATTTTAAAGAAAATATAATAAAGTTGTATTCACCCAGATGATTTTAGAACACTAAGCAAAGGCCTAGTTTCCGATACTAAGCAGAAATGTCCCTACCCTGATGGGTGTCCAGCCCCCTAGAAGTTGACATGTCTCCTTTGGCTTCTTCAAATGTTGGTCATCTCCCACTGAAGGCAGGAAAACTCAGCTCCAGCAGGGTGAGGAGGGTGAGGATTGCCTGAGCCCAAGAATCTTTCTGTGTGTGGCTAGAGCCAGGAGACACAGTGTAAAACAAAGCAAAACACGGCTATAAATAAAGCACAACTCCCCGCCCCCCAGCCCTTTTTTTTTTTTTTTTTTTTTTTTTTTTTTTGCCTAACGCCTGCCATTAGCTGTAAGGCAGCGTGGCTTGTGTGGGCAGGTGGATTGAACATTGGTGTGTTTCAAAATGCTTTTGAAGAGAAATTTCTCCAGGACCCTGTCTTGTCTGGTGCACCATAGATGTGTGAGCAATATTAAGGAGAGGATAGCTCCCAGAGAAGCCTAGAGCCCTCACTCTGTACGTCTAGAGACCATAAGCAACCCGCACACCGGGGTCAAATCTTGCCTGCACCTCCCCTCCCCATTGCTCTGCCCAGCTCGCAATCAGATTTGAAAATTAGATTTTAGACTGCAGACCTGCTTTTGCTTTGCAGCTCATCTCCAGGCCTCTGAAGCCCAAGGGGAAAGCCCCCTCTCCCTCTGAAAGCTGCATCTTGACTATATCCTCACTGAACCAGGGAAAGAGCTGGTCATAAAAAAGAGCCTTGTTATCTGATAGTGCGGGCTCTCCTAGTCGGGGGTGACACTGAATTATTTGGCACAGAAGTCAAATGTTATGGGAGTTATTTTTCTCCTTTAATAAACAAGCATAGGGTCGAAGGATGTGAGGCCAAGTGCATCCCAGAATCTGAAAATGATTGCTTAATTGAGGTTGTTTTTCTTTCTCTGAAGAACACCATTAAGTGATGGTGTTGTGAAGGCTGTAATCTTATTTTACAGCTGAAGCCCCTCTTTTATAATCAGCATATATATTTTTTTGACAATGTGATTTGCCTTCAGTGCGGGATCTAAGCAGCTTTGGTCATTTGCTTAGAGAAAAAATGAACTGAATGTATGAGCTCTAAGGGTTTTCTTCGCCTAGCAACATGCTGGCGGGTAGCGTTCTCCCCTAGTGGTTGCTCTCTGCATGGCTTGTTGACTGAATCCACAATTGCATCTGAATATTATGACAACATATGCTCTCCTTTGGAGAAGCACAGAAATTTCATTAATGGTATGTGAGGCAAGAAACTAGCTGTGGGCCACATTGATGCATATATTCAGCATCAGGTTGAAATCCCAAGGGAGCATCAATTACCAAGTTAAATGCAGTTTCTATGTCAAGCTAGATTGCAAAGCACTGGGATAATGCCACAGGCCTTCAAAGGGAGTTAATTTTAATTGATCAACTTGTGGTCCTGGAATCCAAATGAGCCCTCTTCTCGTTCCCCATGAACATTTCCACGTCCTGTCTCAGAGCGGGGAACCCTAATTCTAGGTCAGCCCAAGAATGTAGGAGAGAGAGCTTCACAGGATGGTACATCCAAATTAGTAGTGTTCCTTACATGGACCTCATCATAATGGGAGGCTTCTTGTAAATCCTCTAACTGCTCTAGTTAAAAATGAGGGATTCATTTGGGTAATTATCATCTCCCCATGCCCTTGGCCTAACTTTTAAAATTCTGTGTCATTCAGCTACTCAGGAAGTAACCTTGGAAGCAAAGCTAATTCCATTCCAATCTGTGCTCTTGAAATGTGAAGATCATAAGAAATGAGTGATTGAGAAGATTCTGGAGAGCCTTGCTTGTTCCAGATGGCTTCTGCTCCAAAAGAAGAAGCTTTTCAAGTGTCCCACGCAGTCCTGAACCCTTTGGGGCCTTCTCCTTTCACTGTGCCTCAAGCCCAATAGAAGAAAATCTCATCCCATCAGGGAAGGGAGGGTGGAGAGGCGGATGTGGGGGGTGTTTCAAGCAAGGTGATTTTCTGGGTGAAAGTACTATGTTCTTCCCAGCACTTAGCACAAAGCCTGCCACCCAGGTAATGTGGGCGGAGTGACTTGTACTGCACTGAACATCCTCACCTGTCAGCAGAGTATCTGATAGGGGTAGCATTTACAGCACGTGCACTAAAAACGCTATTGTACCTTATGCTTTACTTTAATTACTCAAACCAGTGTTGTTTCCAGTGTTTTTTTCTCTCTCTCCTAATGAACCTTCAACTGCTTGTACCTCCTTTCTCCCCCATGGAAAAGTTGCATAATGATGGCTTGTTTACAAACCTGTAAGATAAGTAAGGCTGTTTCAATGTGATGTATGGGTTTTTAAATAGCCATTTAGTGTGAAATGTGTGAATTTTTTAAATTATAACTTCATTGACAATAAACTCTGTCTTTTCCTATATTATGTGTGCTGTCCAACGAATAATAGAATATGGAACTTGCTAAATCCTGTCTACAGTGAATTTGAGCCTTAACAAAATAAAGTACATATTAAATGAAAAACTCAAGAAATCCATTGAATTTGTCTAATGACTCTTGTCTGTATTATGCTGCACATTTGACTTGGGAGACAAAATATGAAGACAGTTTTTATAACATTAAACTGGAATTTAATTTTGAAACTGAGCATGGATCGTTTATATATAAACAAAGGGAACATTGAGGGAAATTTTGTAACCCTACCAACTACCCTAATTAGGAAGGAGTAGAATGGCTCAAGGCAACACAATGCCATGTTCTTTAGACCCTGTTCTGCTGACAGATGATCAGGCTGGCATATTTTGTTCCAATTGATGTTCCCCACCCCATATGTCTATATTAGATCACCAGGCTAAGCCGCAGCCCAGCAAGATGTCTGGGACCCACAACCTGGTGGGCACCCTTTCAGGAAAACCTAAACTCCTCAGGTCCCGCTGAATCTCCAGCCAGTCACGTGTGTGCAATGATAGCCCTGCTCTTGGAAATTGATCTCTATGAAATGGAGAAGCTAAAGACTAATTTTTGCTTGGGATGTTTAGAAGTACATCTGATGTTTTTTAAATGGCAGACACTGAACCAAGGATAAAAGTCATGGTGTTGGGGGTCTCCACATACCAGGTAGGTGACACACTTGCTTTTAAAACAGTGTGGTCTTGAGAACCTGGTCCCTCAAATCTTCATACTGTGAAGTTGCCTGTCCATCTGAGAAGGTCAGAAGACTCTAGAGGGTACATGGGTGATCCTTTTTGGTTTATGATAGTGTCGGCCATTGATTAAGTTTCGTAGACTCTCCATCTTAGCAGCAGGAGACACGTTTCGTCTTTCTTTGGACAGCTAAGGTGTGATCTGTACCTCTCTTCTGTTCTGATCTCTCAGCTTTATTTTATTGTGCTTTGTAATGAACTCTACCCCATCTGGGCAAAGGGAACATCTAAGCCCCTATGGAAGTAAAATGCACTCACCATAAAGGTCATCCTTGGAAGAGGAATATCAACGATGCCCAGTTCCTCAGGCGGCATTTAACTTCATTTGCAATGATCAGTCAGCCATAGTTTTACCCATGGTACCCAGTAATTCAGAGTGAGAAGCCCCCACTTAGGCAATGTAGGATTTGACTGGCTCTATATCTTATTTCTCTCCATGTGGGAGAATATGTAGCTATCTGAGTATATGAAAATTAATTTAGTCTAGATTCATATTTTACACTTACTCAAATATTTATTTGAACTCATAAAAAGTTTATTGACATAACTTAGAAGGTGAAGAACTAAAAGACATTCCAAATATTGACCAAAATAGTGTGGGAAGGAGCTGAGAGAACTTCCAATCAAAATCACTGTTATGCAGAGTGCCATAACCCTCTCCGTAAAATCATATCCTTCCTCAAAACCACACCTTCCAAGTGGTGAATTCTTGAGCTGATGTGCTCTGCAAGGTGCCAAACATGAAGGTAAGTTAAAGTAAGAAGGGCAGCCAACTAGAAGGAAGAGATACAAATGTACAAACAGGACATTTCTGCTAGAGCCTCAGGCATTCAGGAGGTTCATCATCTTCATAGAAATATATAAAATGTTTTAG